GGCTCCTCCCTAAAAGAGCGCATTTCCAATGCTTTTACAAAGATTAATATTTTTTATTTTGGCTACCTACTAGGATTTCAGGCATGGCGTCTTTTGAGTTGTCATTTCGTTTGTATATACATATATCAAATAATTTCCGTAAATCATTCGGTGTAAATATACCTTAATCAATCAATAACAATACTCAGTATTAATCAGCTGATTTTAACATATATTTATTGAGAACAAGGCCTATTAATAAGGCCCTTTATGAAGACCAGCTGGATATGAGCTGCCTTTCAATTTTACTGTCAAAATCAATTATTGTGAATTGACCAAATTGTTGACATTAGACTTGAGAAAAAATCAGCTGACGTTCGCCTGTTGGGTGACCTTATTATTGGATCTCGATTTCGTAAATCTGAACCAAGGCCTATTAATAAGATCATCTAGGGAGACCAGCTGTATATCTAGAGAGACCAGTTGGATATCAAGTTTGCTGTCAAAATCCATTATTGTGAATTGATTTCCGTTATTTCCAAATTATTGGCATTAGATTTGTGAAAAACAGCTGACTTTCGCCAACTGGATGACCTTCCGTCAAATTTTATCTAGTGATAATTCTCATGTAGAATTCATGTACAAACTATGCTCTTTGACATTTAATCGGATATTCAGCTGGGCTAAATGGAGTACCTATTTATTATGGCATAAATGGCGATTAACGTAAAACATGTTCGGTATAAATTGTTATTCAATAACTAATAATAATTATACAATAAAAAAGGTGGTGTATCAAAATAAAAACATATGTCGAACTTCTTTCAAATTGTATCTAGTAATATTTATCATATTGCATGTCAAATTCAAGTAGAAACAATGCACTCTGACAGTTAATCCGTTAGTCAGCTGGGCTAAATGGGGTACCTATATTTGTTCCTTTGTTAATAATAATAAAATATGTTATATTAATCAGCTGATTTTAAAATAGCTTCATTGGGACCACGGTAGTGATTTTTTCCAAGCTACATAAAAAAATAATTCGAGGAAGATGTTTTGAATGTTTACATTTTTGCATTAAACATGTTGTTCAAAAGATCAGCTGTTCTCTTGTGAGAGAGAAAACTTGCTCAGCAAATGAGACTGTGTAATTTTTATGAATGTTTACAATTTGCCTCAAACATGTTTGTTTGTAAGATCAGCTGTTCTCTTGTGACAGAGAAAACTTGCTTAGGAAATGATACTGAGTATTTTTTTTTGGAAAAAAAAATATATTAAATATTCTGTCAGAAATTTATACACGAGTGATACTATAGGTATAGTTTAGATTTAGGAAATCCACTCGATCTCAAATGTCAATTCCATAGCGTATACGTCAAATATAATGACGTATACGCAATGGAATTGGCGTTTGAGATCGAGTGGATTTAGTAGTCTAAACGTAGCATATCTCTGTGTCTATACTTGTTAAATTGGTATAGTAAAATTAGTGAGCTGTCAAATCATTTTGATTTTAATTCCATAGCGTTTACACTACGTAAATTCAAAAGCACGTTTGAGACCCATACGAGGATTATATCTTCCAAATCGTAAAAATGTCAAATGTGTGTGTTGGCTATATTTACATCAAAAGTGTTTTATGGAAATCGTTATTTTATTTGACACAGTTATTTGACATATATTAACAAAGGAAGTGACAATTTAAATCACATATAAATTATGATTGATCATAAAACAATAAAGGAGGATGTATAGAATAGAATATATAGAAAAAACAGGTTAAAGAAAATAATATTCTGAAATTGTTATATATAATATTTAGTATATAAGTGTTTGTGTGTTTTCCTAGAAGACCTTGACCTAATTTCAGATTTCATGGTCTAACGAATAGGTTAAGTCGTGATTCGTTTATATATATATATATATACCTACATAAATTTTAATTTCTATTGTTTTTTTATTTTCTAAGGCAAGTGTAAAAAGCCTTGACCCCAATTGGTTTGCCAAAAATTCTAGCAGTTCAATATATAAGAAATTTCCTAATGATGTAATTTAAACAAACATTGACAACTATTTGTTTACTTATTATTTAATTTCAATAATATAAATCTTTTTTCTAGTAGATTTTTAATAATATAATTTCATTGGAACATTTAAAATTATAAATTAAATACATTGATAAAATAACCAACGGTTTTGGGTGGCAATATGAGATTTAAATACGATTTTTTATGAGAGAGATTTAGTACAAGATTTAAGTAAGATTTACACGAAGCCTATTTTAATAAAACATCATTTAGAATGCCATTCCAATAAATTGTTTGTAATATATAGAAAATTTCCAAGTGGATACCATCCATAATTATGATAACATTATTTTTAATTTTTATTAAAAATATATGTATATATATATATATATTTGATTTTTGTCATAATAATTGACATTGCAGCTGTCAACCTTTGACTGTCATTGAACTCAATTAACATGTGTTTTAAATAATATTGCTTTTCACTGCAAAATAAATGAAATAATGAAGAAAATATTTGCAGAGCATTTTTTCTATTAATTTTCCCTTTTTTAGTGAGGAAATGCATATAAACACACACATATATAAAAATACAACGTGGGTGGCCATTGCCATTTAAGATGATATGCTTTGCGTAATAACAATGCAGCTGTTCGAAAATTAATTTGTTGCCAATTCTTTTTATTTTTTTGCAAATCTTCTTCTTCTTCGGCTGTTCACATATTTATGCATTTGAAATTAATTTCTGTTGTCATGTCATATTTAGTCATTAAAATTTCTTTTCGATTTTTATTTTCGTAAAATATTGTTTTTGAAAGCATTCCACAGTCGTGCTGCATATAAAGTTGTCTTGTCAAAATGCTGATAATGTGTAGACAGAATTATGAATATGAGTAAAGTAGACCAAAAATAGATGTGTGTAAACGTATATATAGAAATATATAGAAAATTAAATAAAACAATTTCTTAATTTAAAAAAATTATTAAGTTCAAATTTACATCATAACTTTTTCTTGAAATAAAAAACGTAATTTACAATGTCAATTCCCTGGATCAAATATGTCAAACCAAAATGACGTTTTTGCGTAAGATGAGTAACCAGTTTCCTAAATTGAATATATCAAATAAATTATTTATTTATATTTTGTGGAATTTTAATTGTTATAATGCATTTTGTCATAATGTATTTTGACAGTTGCTTTGTTAATCAGCTGACAACGAAACAATACATAGGTATTCCATTTAGCGCAGCTGACTATCCAATTACCTGTCAAAATGCATAGTTTCTGCCATGGCACAATGAATAGGTAGTCCATTTAGCGCAGCTGATGCCTTGATTAACTGTCAAAGTGGATAATTTCTATTTGAATTCGATGTGCAGTGTTGCCAACCATTTGAAATATTATATGAAAAAAATTGACAGATAATCGAGACAAAAACAAAGGTTTTTGTTTTGATACAACACCTTATTATTCCATTATGGTTTCTGCCTTGGTCTATTAATAAGATCATCCAGAGAGACCAGCTGGATAAAAGCCGCCTCTCAAACTCCATTATTGTGAATTGATTTTCATTATGAAAACATAAAAAAAGTCCATTTTTTACATTAGAATTGAATTTACTATGATCAAAAATTTTCCTTTATGTTATCGAACAAAATAGTGAAATCCAATCCAAATCCAATAACCAAATAATATATGGAGACCAGCTGAATATCAGCTGCTTCTTAAGCTTACTGTCAAAATACATTATTGTAAATTAATTTCCATTATGAAAACATACCTAAATCAAGTCCATTTTTTTACATTAGACTTAAGAAAAATCTGCTGGCTTTCGCTTGTTGAATCTTGATTCCGTAAAGCTAAACAAAGGCCTATTAATTAACCAGGGAGACCAGCTGCCTCTCAAACTTCATTATTGTGAACTGACATCCATTATGAAAACGTAAACAAAGTTAAAATTTTTGATATTTGACCTGAGAAAAAACAGCTGACTTTCACTTGCTGGGTGATCTTATTAATGGATCTTAATTTCGTAAATCTAAACCAAGGCCTATTGATTTGGTCATTATTGAATACGTAAACAAAGTCCAAACTTTTGACATTAGACTTAAGGAAAATCTGCTGACTTTCGCTTGCTGGGTGATTTTATTGGCTCTGTCTGTTTACTCGATATTTGGTAACAATTGTTACCAAATGTTACTAAATGTTGTCTGTTTACACAAAAATCCAGTAAAAGAGAGTCAAGTGAGAGAGCAAGTTTGACAGTTGAACAACAACAAACTTGCTGGAGTTTACAGAAAGAATTTTATTCAGTAAGATTTTACAACTCAGCCATTTTTTGATCAGCTGTTTTATGACCAAACACAAAAATTATGCAAAACAGTTTTGTTAATTTGCAAAGTTCAATTTGAAGTTAAGTTGTATAAAAATTACAGAAAATGGAAGAAAATTCGTAAGTAATGCAAAGATTCATTAAAATAGAAACTCATATATTTTTAGGCAAGTTCCAGATAGAGGACAATGTATTGATGCAGGAAGCTTAAATGTTCCCTGGGAACATGCCAAAACTATTTTTCTTTTATTATTCATTTTATTATTAATATTAAATGCAATACAAATAATTGTGTTCGTCCTTTGTTTGTTGTTTATTTTGGCGAAAATAAAATGTTTTCTTGAATCAGCTGTTTATTTGCTAAATCTTACTAAATGTTGTCTGTTTACTTTTTCAATATTATCGCAAAAGAGAGTAAAAACGGCTTACTCTCTGAACTAGAACTTACTGAATAAATATTACTGGAAAAGTAACCAGACACACCTATTAATAGATTTTGATATAAACCTACTTCTATCCATGACATATTGAATCACAAACCATGTTCACACTCAGATAGTTTTTTATAAGTTTGAATTTGTTTCTTTAATTAGATTTAAGGCGAGATTTATTTAATTGTTTTTTATTAATTTTTTGTTATTTCCCATTATTTCTTTGCAGAGAATTGGATGGCGTTCGTAATGGCGCCCGTTTGGAACCCAAAAAAATTGCTAAAGCTCCAGAAGGTGAAGGTTGTCCCCGTTGTGGTGGTTATGTATATGCTGCTGAACAAATGTTGGCCCGTGGCAGAGTAAGTAGATGATTTCAAAACAAAAAAAGAAATAATAATAATAACAACAAATACAATAGGTCTGTTTGATATATAATTTTTTTAATACAAATTACTCAGTTACTCAGTCTGTTTGATTTATATATTTTTTGTAATACAAATTACTCAGTTAATTTTAAAATAAAAAATAATCAAACTACTATTACAGCGCATTTAGACTACTAAATCAACTCGATTTCAAATGTCAATTCCATAGTGTATACGCCACCTTAATTATGTTTACGAATCCAGTAGATTTTATTTGACGTATACGCTATGGAATTGGCATTTGAGATCGAGTTAATTTGGTAAATCTAAATGTACTCTTATTCGATGACATAATTTTTACAAATCAGCTGTTGTCTGAAAAGGAAATTTAAATCTATTTCAGACAACAGCTGATTTGAAAATATATCGTCATATCTTATTTCATTAGCGAATAAAACCGAAAATATTTATTTTTATCTCATTTTTTTCGCCAAAAAATTATCAAAACTCTACTTTTAAATTCTCTTGAAAAATTTCTGAATAATTTCTTTACAAAAAATTTACATTCAGACCTATTGTATACCTAAAACATTGTTTACATTATGATGCTTAAATAACAAAAATTCGTTTCATATATTTGACTTTTACACGTCAAAAATTAATTATCACAGTTAATTGGGCATAATGTAAACATTGTTTAAGAAACAAATATTTTGTATGCTTTTAAAAAAATAGTTAATTTACATACCTATATATAAAATAGGGTTATCACAGAAGATGTTTCAAATGTTTACTCTGTAATCGTACATTGGATTCTACCATGCATTGTGATGGTCCAGATAAGGAAATCTACTGTAGAGGTACTTTACGTACACCATATACAATATACACAGATACATTTTCGCGTTTTTTTTTTTTGCAAAAAAAAAAAAAAAATTGCAAACACCCACAAAAACAAAACATGTGTCATAAAACAATTCATATTATTTTGTTTGTGTGTTTTTAAAAATAGATAAAATTTAATATACATTTAATTAAATGTTTCGTCAAATTGTTGATTGTCATCAATGCATGAGATGAGCACAGTGTTAACATTGTTTAATTTTATTATTTTGTGCCAAAGAAAAACTAATTAATATACAGAGATATGAGATAGGTAAAAAGAAAGACATTTGTATGTCATATAATCAAGGCAATTGACAATTTAAAGTACGTGTTTTATTAAAGCTTGTTTAAAATGACACTTACTTAGAACTTTCTACCGGGTTAATCTACTTTATGAGGATTTATTTGACATATATTCAATGGAATTGATAATTTAAATCCACTGGGTTAACGAAGTCCGGTTCAATGTAAACGTACTATAATATAAATCTATCCCAAGGGTGGTTCAACCCCAAAGATATGTTGGTTAATTATTTCATTCAAATCTAATCAAATATTTCTTCGACAATTAGAGCACGTTTAGACTAATAAATTCACCCGATTTCTAACGTCAATTCCATAGTGTATGAAATTAGGTTTATAAAATATGCAATACAACCAAGATCTATTAGCGAAAGCCAGCTGTTTTTTACTCAAGTCGATTGTCAAAATTGTTCTACATTATTTACGTTTTCATTGTGGAACTCAATTAACCATAATAAATTTTGACAGGAAACTTGAGAAGCAGCTGATATCCAGCTAGTCTCCCTTGTCCTTTTTAACCCTTTGTGGCCCAATGTTGCCCACAGGCAACAAAATGTTTTAGAGCTAATATTTAATATACTGCTTGTAGATATATATTCTTTGGATTGCATAGGTCAAGGCCTGATTATGAAGGACACATATCACAAGAAAAATCTAAAAAATTCAAATTTTTGGTAAAGTTATGAGCTTTTTAATATGGAGAAGAGGGCAAAAATTGTTCAGTACTAATTTGTGTATACAGTCCAAATTATTTATCGCTTGTATTTGAAATATACGAACTCTGCCGTCAGAATTATTTTTGATTCTTGTAAAACAGAATATAGAGAATAATTTAAAATGATTTTTTCGTCGATTTTGCATTTGGTTTTCTTGATATTGGGCTTTTATATTTCAGAAAGAATGTACTGTATATCCCGAATGCAAGGATGTAGCGATGTCAAAATTTGTCCATATCCTATCTAGGATAGTTGCATTAAATCTGTAAACATAAAATTGTTCTATGATTACGGAAAAAAAATTCGGGGCTCAAAGGGTTAATATTCCTTGATACTGTACAAACCAAGATCTATTAATAAGCGAAAGTCAGCTGTTTTTTCTCCAGTCTAATGTTAAAAATATTGGACTTTGTTTACGTTTTCATAATGGAAGTCAATTCACAATAATCGATTTTGAAAGTTAACTTGAGAGACAGCTGATATCTAGCTGGTCTCCCTGGATTACTTTTTTAATAGGCCTTGATACTGTACAAACCAAGATATATTAATAAAGTCACTCAGCAAGCGAAAGTCAGATGTTTTTTCTCAAGTCTAATGTTAATAATGTGCACTTTGTTTGCGTTTCCATTATGAAAGTTAATTCACAATAATCGATTTTGACAGTTAACTTGATAAGCAGCTGATATGCAGCTGGTCTTCCTGAACTACCTTATTAATAGATCTTGGAATACAACATTGTGTGGGAGGTAACAGGTACATTTTAATAAAATACGTCATTTAGCTTGACCAATTCCGTGTCAGGATGTAGGTTTGTTTAACTATATTTATTCTGTGTAAACTTATGTTTGTTTTATTTGTTAATTGTATTGTTATGTGTATGTGTGTGTTTTTGTGTTTTTTTCAGAGTTGGCATAAGGAATGCTTCAAATGTGGTAATTGTTCAAAGGGTCTAGATTCCATTCTATGCTGTGAAGCTCCCGATAGGAACATCTATTGCAAAGGTAATTATTGTACAATCAAAATCAATGTCTATCAGAATAAAGCGGGGAAACACATAAGAAGACTTCAGGCTTGATATGTTAAGCAGGCTTATTTCATTGTAAAAGAATGAAGGAGAACGGCGTTCAAAATCAAATTTGGCTCTGATATTCTTTTATAAATTCACATTTCAAAAGGCCAGGCCAGTATCCTCGTATGTGTTTCCCCCTTAAAGTCACCCATGAAAAACAGCTGATTCACATGTTTGTTGTCAATATCCGTGAAAAATAGCTGTTTCCTGTTTAACTTTATAAATGGGTCTTCACAAGATCTATTAATAAGGTCACCCAGCTTCCCGCTGTTAATTCTCAAATCATATGTCAATAATTTGGACTTTGTTCACATTTTCATAATGTAAGTCAATTCACAATAAAGGATTTTGACAGCAAACTTGAGAAAGAGCTGATATCCAGCTGGTTCTTAATAGGCCTTGGCACTTGATCCCAATAAATGTTAAGATGTATTGAGAAAAATTCGAACATATCTTTCGAACTTTTCGATATTACTGTTTATGTGAGTGTGTAAATGTCAATTTTGTAATATGTGTCTTGTTTCGTTCTTATTTTCTTTTGTGTGCGTACGTGTTTAGCTTGCTATGCCAAGAAATTCGGTCCAAAAGGTTATGGCTATGGCCAAGGTGGCGGCGCTCTCCAATCTGACTGTTATGCCAATGGGTAAGTAGAAAAAATATTTGTTTTTGAAGTATTCCAACCATGGCACAATAAATATGCAGTCCATTTAGCGCAGCTGACTATTCAATTAACTGTCAAAGTGTGTTGTTTCTACTTGAATTCGATGTGCAATGTTGCCAACCATGAGAAAAGTTACGCACTTTGACAGTTAATCGAGTCATCAGCTGTGCTAAATGGACTACCTATTCATTGTGCCATGCTTCAAAATTATTGGCGTATCCATTAAAAAAAGAAAAGCATCAACTGTTGGGCGCCAACATCAGACAAATATATGTAGGAAGCTTTATCCTATCCTTTATAGTTTGGATTGAAATAATTCTAACTGCCCGTAAAAAAATTTCCATTTTAAGGAAAAGTGATGTATTTGTTTGTGCCTAAAATAGTGTTGTATTTGTATTCCGATTTGGCATTGGAAATTCGAGCAAATCAACATAATGAGAGGATTTTCAAAATATTGAGAGGATTTAATTTTGTATAATAAATCGAGGTTAATGAAGTTCGATTTATGAAGTAAATCAGGATAATGGATATCATCATGTGTTAAGATATAGTCTAAACCATGGCACAATGGATAGGTAGTCTATTTAGCGCAGCTGATGTCTTGATTAACTGTCAAAGTGGGTAATTTCTACTTGTGCAGTGTTGCCAACCATTTAAAATATTACATGGAAAATTTTGACAGATAATCGAGACAAAAACAAAGTTTTTTGTTGTGGTACATCACCTTGTTATTGCATCATGGTCTAAACAATGTTTTACTATCGTAAAGGGATGGATTAAAGGTGCTATAGACTTGGTGATTTGTTATTGTTATTTGTATGTAGTTTGAGGTGTTGTAGAAATGGATTTTGAACTTGAAATGAAATTTTATTAGAGATTTGTACTTGTTTTGTTGATTTCTTGTATTTGTGGCCTACTCGTAACAGAAATCATAACATTATACATATTTTACACATATCTTCTGTAACATTTGTATAAAATAAAAAAAAAATATTAAAATATTTATTTATTTTTATTTTATAATAATTTAAAGGCTGTTATGCTCAACGTTTTGGTACAAGAGGTTATGGACATATTGGCATGTCATCGTTAGGTCTAATGTCCGATATTATGGATTGTGAAAGGCAAAGGTATTTCGAAATACAAAAAATGTTCTCAAAGTCTTAGTCCATGGTCCAAAAGTTTGTGTGTGTGTTTTTTTTAATTTGTTTGTTCTAACAAATATTTTAAAAAAACCAAAACCCCCCAAATCATAAAAATAGATTTCCACCTATATTTCCTTGTTTTATCGTTTTTTATAAAATTTGTAAATGTATTTGTATAGAGAGAGAGTGAGAGTGAAACAATTTAAGCTCTAAATCTTTCCACTAACACTTTCATCAAGAAAACATGAAAATGATACACAAATAAAAAATACAAAAAATCGAAAAAAAACATTTATAGCCCAAATATTCATATATATAGACGTAGCCGAACACACATGTTCCTATATACTAGAAATTCATATGATGTGCATTTTTTTGGGTTCCTATAAATTTAACACTTGTTGTGGCTGTTTCGTATCATTATTTTTTTCATTTCATTTTTTTTTTTGTCTACACCATAATGACTAAAAATATATTTTTAAAATCTTCTATTCTTCGTGTCTGCCGAAAGAGATAATTTGTTGGAAAAATATCAAACACAGCACACACGAAATAGAATTTTTTCTTTTTGGTATTTTTCTCTATTATATATATAAATATATATACAGATATGGAATCTGTATATAATAATAAAATAAATTTTTCAATAAATTTTCAATTCAATTTATATACATAATTACCCAGATCAAAAAAAAACACACACAAAAGTCTAGCAAATCATCGACACTTGCCTAATGTAAACACACACAAAAAAAAACAAAGAAAAAAATCGAAAAAAAAATAAATTGAAAAAAATGCTGCGTTTTATTTCCATGTCTGCAATTAAAAGATTTCCACAGATTGATGTTTATTTGTTTATCTTCCTCTTCTTCTTTTTTCAATATCTTGCATTGGAATTCTTCCGTATTTCGTAACAGAATTTTATTGCACATCTCAATCAAGGTCTTCATGAATATTCTATGTAGATATTCGAATTTTGGGGAAATGAATATTTTCACATATTTATTTTTAATTATTAGATAATTAAATTGAAATTACAAAAAAATGCATAGCAACTGTGGACTTTAACCTCTCTGAAGGTAAAACAACAAATAAAATGCAACTCTGTAACTGTACCCGCTTACTGTCAAACTTAAAGAGGAATGTCAAGCTTAAAGGGGAAACACATAAGAGGACTTCAGGATTGACATTTTAAGTTGGCTTCTTTTAGTGTAAAAGAATTAAAGAGAGCGGCGTTCATATGCTAGTTTGACTCTGATATACCTTTATAAATTGACATTTCATACAAAGCCGACTTAACATGTCAGGCCTGGCAAACAAAATACAACTATGTATCTGTGCCCGCTCACTGTCAAACTTATAGGGGAAACACATAAGAGGACTTCAGGCTTTGTATGTTAAGTTTGCTTCTTTTATTGTAAAAGAATATAAGAAAACGGCGTTCAAATTCAAGTTCGACTCTGCTCTTCCTTTATAAATTTCTAAAATCATACAAAGCCGCTTGATTTCAAATGTGAATTCCGTAGCGTATACGTCACCTTAATCATGTTTACAAATCCAATGGACTGTATTTGACGTATACGCTATAGAATTGACATTTGAGATCGAGTAGATTTTTAAATCTAAACGTACTATTAGTAGGTTTACATACATCAAAATTTGGCGTCCATTTCTTTATTCATTCTTTAAGATTTGACAAGGGTTACCATCTTTTGAGATTTGAAAAGGGTTGCGAGCATTATTTTGAGATTTGACAAGGGTTGCCATTATTAATTTCTCAAATGAGACTACCTTCTGTAATTATGCCATGGGTGTAGGTTGAATCCCCATCGAACCCTAATTCGTGGCAAAGCAGTAGCACTTTTCTAAGCAGTAGCATTTTTCTAGTAGCAATTTTCTTGAAAGCGGCGTTTACGCACGATCACTGCACTGAATAGTGATTCTCTAAAGTGAGCTTTGGCTAGATGGCGCCCAAGCTCACTTTAAAGCTAGATGGCGCCCAAGCTATAGAGAATCAAAGATGATCAACGATTTTTTAAATAACAAAATATTCGTGAACAATATAATTTGCACGTTCAGCTGGCATCTTTAGAGCACCTGCTATATCATTCCACATCGGAATTTTCAAAATAAATTAGCGTTTTTTGAAGTTTTCGTCGATTACAACCTCTCTCGGGTGCTAACAAAAAACTTATTTTCAGCGAAACTTCTTTTGGGATCTGAGAACAGGGAATATTCCCTGGTGTTGAGATCTGAAAAATATAGTAGATGTAGAGGACATCGAACCTCGATTCATGAATTTCAGTATTTTTGCTGACATTTGTCACGGCGATGCATGGTCTTGACCAGTATCTATACTATATTTTTCACACAAATCCATCCTGACTTGCTTCAATTGTATGTAGAAAGAAATTTAACTACAAAATCATTGGCGTCTACGTTAAAAAAAAAATAATAACATCAACTGTTGGGCGCCAACAGGAGCCGAAAATATTTGTAGAAAACCTATCTATCTGTTCCTAAGTTTGGATTAAAAAATAAAAAAATAATTCCAACTTCCACTGTTGGGCGCCAATATCAGTCGCCTCTTTGTCAAAGGCAACTTTTTATTTGTAAACACGCAAAATTCTCTTTTATCTACAACCACGACTATCGCATTCACCTTCGAAAAAACAGGTTCTCTCAGATATTTTGTTAGAAAATTGACAAAGATGTCCAAAAAATTGACAAAGATATTGGGCGCCAACCTCATCCGAGGCCTCTACGTTAGAAGAAGAATAGCATCAAATGTTGGGCGCACACAGCAGCCAAAAAAATTCGTTGGAAGTCTTGCCGCATGCCTGTCCCACAATATATCCCTTCATCAGTTTGGCTTTCAAAGACCAAAATCTCGTAGATATGTAAATTAAGAAAATGATAGCTCAAATTGGCGGTAAAGACTTCCACTGTTGGGCGCCAATTTCAATCGCTTACAAAAACTAGGTTCTCTTAAATGTTCTGCGTGAGGAAACTCAAAACAAAAATATAGCGACGACAAAGACATTCACTGTTGGGCGCCAACCTCATCCAAGGCGTCTACGTTAGAAAAAGAATAGCATCAACTGTTGGGCGCCAAAATCAACCAAAAATATATATGTAGGAAGCCTTATCGTATGCCTGTTCCACAAGATTTGGCTTTCAAGGACCAAGATCTCTTACATATGTAAATTTAGAAAAATAGAATACCTCAACTACCGGTGATGACTTCTACTGTTGGGCGCCAATATCAATCGCCTTCAAAAATCAAGCCCTCTTAAATATTTTGTGTGAGGAAACGGAAAACAAAAATATAACGTCATCGATATGTTGGGCGCCAACCTCATCCGTAGACGCCACGGATTAAAACATGAATAGCATGAACTGTTGGGCGACAACATCGACCGAAAAATATATGCAGTAAGTCTTGCCTGTCTGTTCCATAAGAAATCACTTCCTCCACTTGGTTTTCAAAGACCAAGATCTCTTACATATGTAAATTTAGAAAAAGAAAAAAAATCTACCGGTAAAGACTTCTACTGTTGGGCGCCAATATTAATCGCCTTCAAAAACCAGGTCCACTTAAATATTTTGTGTGGTGAAACTACAAATAAAAATAGAACGTCTTCTGTCGATCAAGTCAACAGTTGGATGCCAACCTCATCCGTGGCGTCTATGTTAAAAAAGCCTAGCATCAACAGTTGGGCGCCAACATGTCTGTCCCACATGATATCCCGTCATCAGTTTGGCTTTCAAAGACAAAGGTCTGCTAGATAAAGACTTCCACTGTTGGGCGCCAATATCAGTCGCCTGTTTGTCAGGGGCAATCTGGGCAAACTGTCCAAATTCCCGTTTTATCTAGAACCTCGCATTTTTTAATAGAAATTCGCATGACAAGATACAATTCTACATTCGAAGACATTTTTACTGATCCGTCCATCTCAGATTCACCTTCAAAAACCCGGCTCTCTTAGATATTTTGTGAGGAAATTGAAAACAAAAATATAGTGTCATCTATCGACAAAGACGTCCACTGTGACCTCGACGTCTAAGGTAAATATATACCACTGTTGGGCGTAAATATTAATCTTCTGTTTGTCAGGGGCAGGTTTTTATTACAATTGCATTCTAGTACCAGATCTGTCACACAAGAAGTTTCCAATAATATTCGCCTTCAAAAAGCAGGTCCTCTTAGATATTTAGGGAGGAAAATTGAAAACAAAAATATAGCGTCTTCTATCGACAAAGACGGTCCCGGTCCCACATTATCTCTGTAATATTGGTATATGTAAACATACTATAATTGTTTATGTGTGATTTATGTTTTCCAACAAATCATTTTTTTCTTTTATTTATTATTTTTTTTTCTTTTTTTCCACAGTGATATGGCTCCTCGCACCGCCGCTATTGATGTAAGTAAGATTAAGGCCCGCCCCGGTGAGGGTTGCCCACGTTGTGGTGGTGTTGTCTTCGCTGCCGAACAGGTGCTGTCCAAGGGTCGTGAATGGCACAGAAAATGTTTCAAGTGCCGTGATTGTACCAAGACTTTGGATTCGATCATTGCTTGTGATGGTCCCGATGGTGAGGTATATTGCAGAACATGCTATGGCAAGAAATGGGGTCCTCATGGTTATGGTTTCGCTTGCGGTTCTGGTTTCTTGCAAACTGATGGTTTGACGTAAGTACACTAAGAAAATTTAATAACTTAAAAAGAAGAGATCAAAATTTTGGTAGAGAATAATTTAAATGCAAAAATTAATTTGTAATATGACAATAATTGATGTGTGGCCCAAAGGCTTAATTAATCAAAAAAGGAGAATCAAAATCTATTAATAATGTCACCCAGTAACCTGAAGTCAGCTGATTTTTCGTACGGCGTTGCTTATGTTTTCATAATGAGTGTCAATTCACAATAATGGATCTTGACAGAAAACTTGAGAAGCAGCTGATATCCAGTTGGTCTTCTTGGATGACCTTGAGGAAAATCAAAGCCTATTAATAAGATCATCCAAGGAGACCAGCTGCTCTCAAGTTTGCTGTCAAAATCCATTATTGTGTAAACAATGTCGAAATTTTTGACATTAGACTTGAGAAAAAATAGCTTATTAATAGATCTTGAATAAAATATTTAATGGCCTACTTAAAATTAGTAAAACTTGTTTCCATTTTTGACATTTTCATAATGAGAGTCAATTCACAATAATGGATTTTGATAGAAAACTTGAAAAGCAGCGGATATCCAGTTGGTCTTCCTGGAAGACCTAATTTATAGGCCATGAGGAAGAATATCAATCAAAGCCTATTAATAAGGTCATCCAAGAAGACCAGCTGCTCTCAAGTTTGCCGTCAAAATCCATTATTGTGAATTGACTTCTATTATGAAAACGTAAACAACGCTTAAATTTTTCACATTAGACTTGAGAAAAAACAGCTGTCTCTCGATTGTGAGCTTATTAATAGATCATGAATAAAATATTTAATGGTCTACTTAAAATTACAAAAACGTATTTCCATTTTTGACATTAATAAAATTGAAATGTGGCCAAGTGCCATTATAGTCTAAACTCAACCAGAGAGTCTAGAGTCAGCGACGGTGGTTTACCGTGTGTTTCTTATTGACAACGAGAAATCCCAAGGGCTGACGTTCGCGTCTAGCGGCTTGACGCTAAAATAGATTTAATTCATTTTTGCTCAGCGTCATACTCAAATTTTCTCTTGCTCTCAATTGAGTTGCCATATTTTAGAAAAAAATCAAAATATATTTAAAGTTGTGGACGTTTTGTAACGAATTAATAATAAAATGGAAGAAACATTTTAAAATTAAATGGAAAAAAAATAATTTTCCACAAGTTCATTGACATTATTTTTTATTTAATAATAAATTGAATTTGGTTTGCACAACGTAAAATTTTCTGTCAGAAAATGAAAACAAATAATTGACATTTTGCTAACTCGCTCGTTTGGTTTTCACGCCATGAACAAATATGCCGCTGACTCCTGACTCTATGGTTGCGTTTAGACTCTTAGGCATTGAATTACATTAGCTGGGTTCACACGATTGAGTGATGTCAGGGAGACCAGCTGGATATCAGCTGCTTGTTTCCATTTTTGACATTAATAAAATTGAAGTGTGGCCAAGTAACCTTAGATATTGAATTACATTAGCCGGGTTCACACGATTGAGTGATGCCAGGGAGACCAGCTGGATATCAGCTGCTTCTCAAGTTTGGTGTCAAAATCCACTATTGTGAATTGACATCTCCAGTACCTCAATTTCATAGTGTAAAAGTAAAATAAATTTCACTGGATTTATGAATAGCATTTATTTGAGGTATAGACTATGGAATTTCTATTTGAGTTCAAGTGGATTTCGAAATCTAAACGCGCTTCAAATCTCAAAACTCCTTATATAGACATTTAGATCTCGAAGTAGACTTCAAATGTTAAACTGCTTGTACATTAGAACTTTTTACCGGGTTAACCTACTTTATGAGGATTTATTTGACATATATGCAAAGGAAATGGCAATTGAAACCCACTGGGTTAACGAAATCCGGTTACATGTAAGCGTACTGTTATGACCCAAAATTATTATTATTTAATAAAAAACCCATTATATTTTAATTGTCAATTACCTTTACTAAATGTCAAATAAATTATATATTTTAATGAGTTGGTCATTTACATACACCAAACCGGTTTTAATAAAACTCGTAATTTATATTGTCAATCAATAGATTTATTTCTATTTTTCTTTCTGTTTCTTTGCATTTTTCAGTGCCAAATAAATTATATATTCTAATGGGTAGAACGTTTACATACATCTAACCTGTTTTAATAAAACTCGTAATTTATATTGTCAATCAATTAATTTATTTTTTCTACTTTTCTTTGCACATTCACAGTGAGGAACAAATTGCCGCTAGCCGTCCATTTGCTCCACCAAGCACTACCTCTATTTTGGCACCCGAAGGTGAGGGCTGCCCACGCTGTGGTGGCGCTGTCTTTGCTGCCGAACAACAATTGTCCAAGGGTCGTATGTGGCACAAGAAATGCTACAACTGCTGCCAGTGTCATCGTCCACTCGATTCGATGTTGGCTTGTGATGCTCCCGACAAGGAAATCTACTGCAAGGCCTGCTATGGCAAGGCCTATGGACCCAAAGGTTTCGGTTTTGGTCACACACCAACTTTGGTGTGCACCGGTGAGGGTGAAACACGCAATCTATAGTAAGTGATACAATATTTTTATCAAAAAGGAAGAGATTTAATCAATGTGTTTTTTATGCTTTCAGTACCGATGGCAAGCCCTTGGCTGGTCCCAAATCATCCAGCGGCTGCCCACGTTGCGGCTATGCCGTCTACGCCGCCGAACAAATGATCAGCAAGAGCCGCATTTGGCACAAACGCTGTTTCCACTGTGCCGATTGCCGCAAATCCTTGGACTCCACCAATTTGAATGATGGTCCCGATGGTGATATCTACTGCAAGGCTTGTTATGGTCGTAACTTTGGTCCCAAAGGTGTTGGTTACGGTCTCGGTGCTGGTACTTTGACTATGGCTTAAACAATTCCAACCAAGAACATCAGAGCAAAACAATTTTGTTTTAAATGAATCGCCTACGAAAAAACAAAAACCACTACCACTACAACCACAACGAAAAACGAAATGAAAAAAACCGTAGATTTAAAATCCTGAACTCACAAAACGAAATTATTATTTTTTAAAAACGAAAATAAATCCCGTACGCGGAAAACATAAATCTACAAAAAAATACACACCAAAAAAAACCAACGGAAGTTACGACCCAATGGAAAGAAAAACTTACGAACGTATTTTTATATAGTTATATAAGGAAAAATACATATGTATTTTTTTTTAATTTTTCTTGTTGAGGAACATTTAGAAAAAAAAAAGAAAACGACAAACTCGAATTATTATATATATACATGTATATATAAAACTCTTTTTTTATACTTTATATATAAATAAAAAAATTATTAAATATTTTTTTTTTTTAAAAAACACAAGAAAATCAATCAAACAAACAAACCTGAGCAAAACAGCAGAAACAACAACAACAACCGCAAATCCACCATCAACATTTGCCCCTCACCACCACCATCATTTACATATATATTATATATATACACTTATGTATAAGTAGTATATACATACATATATGATATGAATACAATAAGCATCATGTAATGATATGAGGAGACAATAAATAATCTTACATACATATACTTCTATATACATACATATATATACCACATACATATATACAATTTTTTTAAATAAGAATGCTATTAATTTTACTGCTATTATTTATGTACAATGTTAAAATAATCTTAATATTAATAATGAGATAATAGAAAGATGAATGATGAAGTGCCATGCATATACACAGTTTTATATATACAACAAAAAAAACCAAATTACAACAACAACAACTAAAAACAATTTAACAATAAAGGATAAACTAAAACCACGCAAAACCAAAAAAAAGGGAATTACATATGGATGATAAAAGTGACAGCACATATGTAAATATTTTCCCAAATTTGGTGTGCTCCATTCCGAATTCTCAAAAAAATATTGGGAATATAATTCGAGCACATATAGCCTTATGGATTGAAAACGAAATGAGATCGTACGTGTTTTCTGAGCACGTACAAATTGAAAAATAACTCTGAAGTAATATTTAACGTGTTTTTACAATATTTATTTAAAAAATACAGTATTTACATTAGTTTTTATAGTAAAATTAAAGAAAATAAAGGATTCCTTCTATTAAAAACAGCGCCTAACATTTTTGAGATCAAAAATCTACTTTTAAGATTTCCAATAGTCCTTTTAATAATGTTTCTTGCAGATGTGTGCACTTTATTATATCGATGTTGACAAGATCCATGCTCCACTTCATTATAGGGCGTCATCAAAAATGTTTCTAAAGCGTAACCACTGTCTCCTAGAAGCCAACTATTTTGCATACAATTTCGTCTTTTGTTAATGCTGCCTAGCTGCACTCATATGCCAAATAAAAGCATCATGGCTGGATCCAGGTCTGCAGCTGTCCACAGCTTGCACACACTTTGTCTTCCAGGACTTTCATTACTCTCCACAATATTTGTTGTGCGATCAACACTTATATTTAAATCATTTACCACTACCCTCTGAAACCCACAAACAGCCAGAAATCTAAAGGTACCTGCTAACTGGATGCTTTCGGGAATGACACCCTTGTGTATGAAAGGATCCACTTCTCTCAAAATATCCATAAATGCTTATTTGCAAAAATCTTTTTTTGAAAAGTACGCATATCATGAGTTCAGTGGCAAAAATGTCTAAATAATTTATATTTATAAATATTTTGAAGTTCCTTGCCTTCTAAAAGCGGTGAAATGTGTATGTATACGTAAACAAATAACAGCTGACAAATCGACTTCATTTAATTTTAATACTAGTCTAAACAGTTCTGATTTGATATCTCGATTTACAAATCGAGTCGATTTAGAAGGCATAGTCTAAAAGCGACTTGATACAATAATGTGATGCATCGAAACAAAACAGCGGTTTTTATTTTATGGTTGGCAATAAGGTCATCCAGGGAGACCAGGTGGATATCAGCTGCTTTTCAAGTTTGTTGTCAAAATCCATTATTGTGAGTTGACGTCCATTATGAAAACGTAAACAAAGTCCAAAGTTGAGAATTAACAGCTGACTTTTTAAATCTAGCGTATACCAAGGCCTATAAATAAGGTCATCCAGGCAGACCAGCTGGATATCAGCAGCCACTCAAGTTTGCTGTCAAAATTCATTATTGTGAATTGACTTCTATTATGAAAACGTAAACAAAGACCAAATTTTTGACATTAGACCTGAGAAAAACAGCTGTTTTCCGATTTCAATTGCTGGGTGACCTTATTAATAGATCTTTATATAAACCATTCATTAATCAAAGAATTATTATTAGTAATATGCATAAATTATACATTGAAATATTTAATACTTACATGTGTAGTCAGCTGTTGCAAATTTTTACACAAATTAACATGATATTCTCCATTTGTTTAAAATCGCCAATTGTTTACCTTTAGAGCTTTCTTCGGAAAAAGGCGAAAGTGAGAAAAATCTCCCTCTTCTATTCATTCAGACAAATCTGATTTGTCTTCAAATTTATTGTGGACGCAGCCCATAGAGATTTACAATATCGTGGAATTACATACCGTACTATGGTCGAGTTTATAAATAGAACAGTTTTACTATGGAAGGTGGACAACTATTTAACTGTCCATATTGATGTGTACATCGTTCTGACCACCGCATATCTGCTGCTCCCAAGCGCTGCCGACAAAAGTGTTAAATTTTTTTAAATCCAATATTAAGCGAATGGAATGTCCGATTTGTCCCGAACTCAACACATCATCGTATTTTTACCAACTCTAAATCAAGTTCAAAAATGGGACCCATTGGTCTACTCCTTCTCACGAAAATTTTGATTATTTTTAATGCAATAACAATCGTATAGAATGTCCGATATGATCCAAAATATTTGATATTTGTTTTAAACTTAAATTAATTTCGAAGATGTGACCAATCGGTTCACTCCTCCTGCTACCTCTCACACACATACTTTCAGCCCAATCGTCAAAAATAATTCCGTGCTGAATTTCTTTATTCTCCCTTTTTCCCAATCATAAAGAAAATTCCGCGTGGAATTAAAGGAAGAAAGGAGAAAATCTAGGCCTCATAACAAAGTTCGATTTGTGTCTTTCCTCTCAAAATATCTCACAAACAAAATCGAAGGGAGATAAAAATGTAATTATGGGTTTCAAATGTAAATCGAAATAGAAATTAATTAATTATTTGTAGGTCGAAGACAAATAAAACCCAATTGCAGCATTTAGTGGAAAAATTTGGAAAAAACGGAAAATCGCCGAATGGAAAAACGTTCATTCTTCAAAATTACTTAAAATAGTTTTGGGCTGACAAAAAAAAAATGTAAGGCAAAAGGCTGCACAGAATTTAAAATACAAAACAGGATCAGGAACTTTTTGGCACTTTTATCCACTTAGGACAAAGGTGAGCTTCGAAAACAGTCACCACCTCGGAGAGGTTAGAACTAAATGTTAATTGTTCCATACAAACGTCAGAATCCTTTCCAACGTCAGTTCAATATCCACCTTCACCAAAAAAAAAAAAAACGTAACGCGGCACTCAACTTAGTAATCATTGGAATTCAAGATTTGTTTTTTCTTGTAGGAGTATGTTGCGTCAAAACTTGCAACAAGTATTGTAATGCTGGTTTGCTTACCCGGTAGTATTTGTTGAATCTGTTAGGAAGTACATATCAGATGTTTCAATTATTTTTAACTTTTACAATAATTGTGACAATTCAGGAGGATTAGATCTATCTCGTAATTGTCTTCTTGACAATACTATTCATTTTTTTTTTTTTTTGGTTTCAATTCGTTATTTCTTTTTAATTATTTGGAACAACATAAACACTTTAAATTTGTGCAAACAAATAAGGGCATACAAAGTATGAAAAAGACCCACAGTTGATTAAAAAGAGATGCCATATTCCTATATTTTCACGATTGGAGGATTTTTCTCTCGAGAGAAATGCTTTCCGTGGGAATAGAATTTCTCCCACATTTTGGCGATTGTGCTGATAAATTTCAACTCCGCTGTTTTGAAATTGCTTGGACAAGTTGGTTATCAAGACCAAATTGTCTAAGAACATATTTTAGGATTATCACAGCAATCTATGTCGCGTTGCTTAAAACAAGTTTGCGAGGTGATTAAGGAAATATCTTGTCCCAAGCACATACAATTTGAGTTAACCGCGGAAAAGCAAATTGAAATAAAAAGAGGTTTTTTTCCATACGTGTGGAATACCTGAAATGATTCGATCGGCCAGGAACGAACACCATAAAATCTACTAAAGTTTGGAACTGATGTTGCTGAGCCTGCAACTTTTTTTTGGATTTTCATTAAAATAATTAACACTTTATAAATAAAATCTTTAATTGTGCTTACTTACATGTTTCGCTTCCTTTGAGTTTACTAATTTATTAACGTATTACAGAGTGCGGTGATGCCACATATGCGTAAAGTAGATGCGAAAAGGAATTAGAGAGTGCCAATACGTTTTTTCACGTACTTAAAAAGTGGTATCGAATGCCAGTATTATTGCCCTCAGATGCATCCTGTACATATGACGACGTACTTGGTTTAAAAAATTATTTTTTCGATAAAACTGCAACTGGTCGCAAATACTTTCCGGTCACTTTTTTTTTTGGTACTGGAGTAATTTTGTGAATTTTTAGAACATACGTAACATAACATATTTAAAAAAAAAATGTCCTCCATATAGCCTATATGCTCGATTCGATTTATATCGATTAAAAAACAAATAACACAATTTTTGTATATGTATTTTAATTTTTTTTTTGTTCGGTTTTTTTTTCATTTTCATTTCCTTTATAAGTAGTATAAAAGGGGGGTTTGGATGTGTATGTTGTTGGTTGTGGTGTGTGAGTGTATGTCACGATCATTTTTTTTTCA